GGGGACAAAGGAGTCACGTGGTGTTGTGACCACATAGTACAATGGCGAAAAGAACAATAGTGATGAGAACAATGGGGATATGAAGCATGGTGTTGGAACCATGGTAGGTACGAGTGTCCGGGTTGTGCCGTAAGAAGAGGGAATGCATGGTAGAGAGGATACGAGGAGAAAGGAAAGAAGAGACGCCCCCACAGGGCGTTTGTAACAATCGCACTTACGCGCTTACCATCAGCGCCTCTTATCTGTTGATATCCACCTCCCGCCTCATCCGTCATGACTGCTGCCTCCCGCTGCCGCCTCCCCGCCTCCCGCCATAGACCTGCTCGCGCTAAGGCTTGGAATATGCTTGCACACTACATACTTGTCGCTCTGGTTTTTCCCTCTTTCCGGCCGCCTTGGGCAGCGCCCTCGACCTCACCGCCCGCGCCTGTAGCTCGGGTATCAACTTTTGATGGGCGCATGATAGCTGTGCCTGCGCGCACTGCTCGGCTACTCTCTGTTTGCGTGCGGTTTGTAGGTTTTAAACCGTCGAGGTCAGATTGCCCTCTAAGTTAAAATCGCCGTTGTAGGTTACTCCTCATGGAGTGGGTCTAAGAGATTACCGTCCTACTGGAAAGTCAATGACCGGACCTTTGCTTAGACTGTCAGACTATAGAGTAGAGTAGACGGCCCCAGCCGGGATGCAAAGCGCATAGGTAAGTTCTCACATACATCCTGAGTGGTAGACCCACTCACCGCAATGTGGACATTGTACGAGTATGTACACCATGTACTAGCCGATGCACACCAAAGCTACGATGATCAGATCTAGTATGAGGGCGGATGTGTCGCGTTCGCGAATGTCGGCATACGTCAAAAAGCACACGATAAGAGTTTTCAAGAAGGGAGGGTGAATATTTGAAGGTCGTACCAGTGACTCTCCAGTCTCAGGCAAACATACTATATCTCATCATGCATGTGCAAGCTCGGCAAGGGGGACCTTCTGGTTCGAAACCACTGGCAGTAGTAATCCGCTCGTGTATTAGCAGACCAGCTTCGCTCATGGCGAGTCAACCACGTATGTGATAGGAAAGAAGTCATGCACGAGGAATGCTGTACCGTGATTGATGACCCACTCATGGTCTGACTTGACGTGCCAGTGCTAGGCAGTAGGTGGTGGGGGCCGGGGGGAGAGACAGCGCGATACTGCCGCGATTGATTTCAGATATCCTGAGTGACCTGATATGACAAGTAGTTTGCTGCTATAAGCTGCTGTACCCAAGAATTTATACATGGTTTTTCCATAAAGGACTCTCTATGCGCGCGACAATAGTGATTTTGGGTGCAACCCGGACTCACGGTCCGAACTGTTTTCTGTTTAGGCCTAATTCGGAATGCTACTAGGATCGCGCTTTCCCACAGCACAGCCACGTGCTAGCAATTGCTCAGATTCCTCGATGGCAATCCAACGACCGGACCTGCTCCTTGCTCTCAGGTATACCACACTGAGAACATACAGAACGTGTCATCATTGCTTGCGGGAGGTGGCTGGGTGCTGGTCGAAGGAGCCGCCAACAAAGGAAGCCGCTTTCAGCTTAGCCGCCCATGAGACGGAGCCTCCATCCAGCGCCTATCATTTCCAACTTGCTTTCCTCATTACCACTGTGCCCCCCGTTGTGCATCGGCCAGCTTCCTCATTCGGACACACCAGCCGTTGCGCTTTACTGAGTCTTACCTACTGCTCCGTGCTCCGTGATTGATACTCAGAAATCACTCCGACAAATAAAAGCTCGAGCCGGTATGTCGTCCTTTCTCCCAGTTCAATCTCCCAACCACCGCCTCCCATCCGCTCATATACTCGTCCTGTACATCCCTGACCACGTACTTGACGTTCTACACACCTCATCGAACTCCTCATTGCTCGTGGCCGCCTCCTCCCTGCCTCGACCATCCTAACCACGATGCCTTCCCAGGTCCGATTCTCCGAGGGTACAAAGACCACCGATTCCCCCAATAAAGCCCTCATAGGCGATAAGAACCACACGAACATCAAGAAGAACTTGGATTATCACCGCAACGAACTGCGTTTCAACATGCACGGCAAGATCAGCCTCATCCCACACGCCGACTTCTTCGACCGCTTCCTCCCTTCGATGAAGACACCCAGGTCGGAATCCAACAGATTCAATGGCTTGGAAACGCCATCCTCAGAGACAGATATGTACAAGTCGCTGGTGAGTATCGTCCTCATTGTTCGTCGTCGATATAGAGTCGTCTCGCTGATGCGGTGGTTACAGCCTAAGGCGCTGAACAATGCCCGCATCTGCCCCCGCTTCAAGTTCGTCGCGCATCCACACAAGCCTGACAAGACCGAGCACACGAAACAATCCGTCGACATGGGCATGTACCCAGCCGA